GACTTTCCTTCTCCCTGGAGAGCTGTAACATTCCTTGCAGTAATTTAATTTTTTTTTTTAAATTTTCTTCCACTCGGAGGGCGTTGCAACCTCCCGAACGTAAACTTCAAAATCTTCAGTTCCTCTCCTCCCCCGCCCCCAACTCCCTCCCCTCCCCTCCCCTCCCGCCAGCGGTGCCTGTCGGGAGAAGCCAGTCGTCCTACAGGGCGGCCAGCCCCCAAAGGGGCGTGGCCACCCCTGCCCTTCTCTTTCCTCCGGCGGCGCCTGGAATGTTTGTTAGGTAAACACCGCATAGTAGAGTTTTTAGCCTCGCCTCCTCCGCTCTCCCCTCGCTCGCTCTCTCTCCCTCTCGCTCTGAGCCAATGGAAAGGCTGGAGCGGTTTCAAGGCTACTCCCTGTGTAAGAGAGCCGCTGGGCTGGTGGTAACAAAATAACAAAAGCGTCGAAGGTTGCAAGAGTAACGGGGCTTCTTGCAACCCCCCCTCACCCCACCCTCCTCGGCTTCGCTCCCCGTTTTGGGCCCTTATGCACGGCGGAGAGTCCGTTTTGGGTCCCGATTCGTGGGAAGCCCACCGGGCGGAAGCGAAGCGCAAAAAGGATCCGGAGCTCGCTTGTTGTTGATCTGGAGGGAGAGGACTGGAAACCGCCTCCTGTGTCCCATTTCCTCGCGCCCGCGCGTGTGTTGTGTTGCGTGTGTGTGTGTGCGAGAGAGAGATTGTGTGTGGGGTTGCCCCCCACCCCCACCCCGCACCTTTGCTTCAGCCCTGGATTCTCCATGTTGGACCCGATCTGAGGAGCATCTACATCTCTGCCTTTGCAAAGAGCTGACTCCTCGGCTTTGCAACTGAAGGAGGAACGGGGCGGACTCCCTTCTCCATCGCGCCCATTCCTTCTCTTGCTTCCTCTCCCCCCCCCCGTCCCCACTCCTCCTCCTCCTCCTCGGATATTTCCCTCCTCCGGACTAAAGGATCCCCAGGGTCTGTGGGATTGTTAGATGGAAAGCCGGTCTATCATCACCCAAGTGCAGAGGGACGAAGCCTTGGTCTTTTCAAAACAAGGTAAGGGCGAAGTCGAAGTTGGAAACTTGTTTTCTTCCTAGCTGGCCACCCGTCCTGGCGTGGGGGGGGGAGGGAGAGGGAGGAAGAGACTCCCCCCTCCCCACTTAAAACAGCCTCGGTTTAAAAAAAAGTGCGCGCGCGGGTGGTTCACTACTACTTGATCCAATGCAATAATAATAATATAACAATAAAGGAGGAACTCTGAAGTTCTGGCGCGGGTGGAAAGGAGGAGATGCTTGTTTCTTTAAAAAAAAATACTTTCCTACCAAATTGTGGGGAGGGGACGCGCGTTTTTTAAGAGGAAAAAAAAAGCTTCCCCCTCCTCTTCGCGTTCTGATGTATCGCGTAGAGCTGCGAATGTCAGTCAATCCGTTTCAATTTTTTTTATGGGTGGGGGGGAGGTAGCGACAGGTCTGTGAGAGGACTCTCCTCCCCTCCCTCCCTCCCTCTCTTCCCCAAATGTCGAACTCGAACGGGCACTGTGCGAAGTGGGGTGGTTGGTTGGTGGGAGAAGTGAACTTGGTTTGCCTTCCCTGGGAACGGCCTTGTTTTTCCCCTCGGTTTTCCCCCGTTCCCGCGCCTTCCTCCCACCCCGCCTGGTCCGAGGGAGGAAGGGCAGGCAGGGGAGAAATTGGGGCGCTTCTTGCATAGACATCGCGCTCCCTTAATGAGGAAGGGAGAAAACTCTGGACGTTTGTTTTTCACCCATCTCTCTTCCCCCCCCCCCCCGCTTGTAGCTCTTCCGCGCCTGCGTAGCTAAACAGGCACTTGAATCCCTTCCAAACGTTGCTCTTGAATCGTTCCGGATCTGGAGCGGGTGGGTGGGTGGTTTTTGTTTTTTTGTACCCGCCCTTCAAATCCCAAATTTTAAGTCACATTGGAATCAGTTTTTTTTAATTTTTTTTGCCCACCCCAGGTCTTTTCCTAGCGTCTAAAATGAAGACGAAGCCATTACGTTGACATACACAAGCACAAACACACACCCCTTAAAAAGACCGAAAGTGTCAATGACGGCATAGCCATATTCTCTACGCGAACGACTTTTCGTGCTTATAATATATTCCGGGGAATGTAGTCATGTAGTACTACGGGGGCTTTTGAGGTTGACAATCCGGATCACATTTACTATCGAGCGAGGAAACGGGGCTACCGAACAGGTTTCCTCCGGATAGTTTTAATAATGCTACCATTGGGTGGACGGCGAAAATGCCCGTTTCCTAAAGCGTTTGAGACTTGTTTTTTCAGTATCCTAAAAAAGAAAAAAAAACATTGCTTTCCTTTTTGGAGGTCCGCACAGGATTGGATGAGATCGTTGCGTTTTAATGTTGCCACCTATTTATGTTGCTTTTCTCCTACCCCCCCCCCCTTTCGTTTGTGCTGTGTTTATTCAGCTGATGTTGGCTAACCAGATTTTTCCGCTTCGCTATTGGCCAAACGACTCCGCCTCCCCTTGTGCGTTCTTGACAGAAAGGGTCTCGGGGAGAAGCAACGGGGAGGGGTGGGGGTGGGAAGGCTGGACAACTTGTCCTCTGCTGGGTGCCACTTAATTGCTCTCCAGTTGCAAATCTCCTAGATTCGCTGTACCTTCACTCTCTCTCTCTAGATAAATGAATGCAGGAATCAATTCCACCCCCACCCCTCAATAACCTTGCAGATTTACATGCAGCTAAATATGCAAAAGTTGTCCCAGATGCATTCCGGCACCTCTTCCCAAACTGTTGCCTTCCAGGTGGTTTGCCAACTGTGGGAGTTGCAATCCTACGCCCTATCAGGATGTCAGGTTAGGGCAGGCATCTTGGGAGGATTGGGCATACCTGCCCTCTTGTTAAGCTGAAGAGGGAATGAAAAATGGAGTTTTATTTTTGCATTATGTTCTTAATTCTGGGCTGTGTCTCCCACCCAATACAGCCATTATGAGTCCAGATTATTTTAGTCCCAACTGCTTCTGATTTTTTCGCATTTATGATTTGTGAATAACAATCTAAATCATCTAATCATCGATAACATCCCATTATTTTGTCACTGGTCTTGATAAAAGTTTGCCAGATCAAAAAAATTGGATGCTCCGCAGTGCCGCAGAGCTGGATGTGTTTTGTGATGGAATCTGAATTTCAGATGTTCCAAAAGAAGGGGTCATTCATCGAATTCTCTTGATACCCGTCTTTACAAGAAGGAAGGTTTTGGGGGGGGGGGTTGGAAAGTTCTTATTTGCCAAGAACTCAAACCTGATTACCTGAATAGATAGATGCAGTAGGTGTCAAGAAAAGTGAAAGGGACTGCTTTGGAGAAAGCAAAGTAATCCTGTGCATAATGATTCTGGACCCAAAAAAACAATAGGTCCTTAGAGTAAGATTAAAAGGCTGAAGAGAGGAGGAAATAGCTGGTGTTAAAAGATTTGCTTTGGAGTAAACAGTCATGCATAAAATTGAATTGGTGCATTTAATGAAGTGCTTGATCATATTCTTCTCCCCCCCCCCCACCTGCTTCTCCTCAGTGCCTGGAACAGTTTCGTTGCCAGCTCTCCACTTGCCCTCCTCCCCTCCCCTTTTTTTTCTCCTTTTCTTTTTAAAGTTGTCTCTTTTCAGGGAAATGGAGGTTTTGGTGGCAGCCATCCAGGGAAGCTTGGATATGGAAGCCTCTGGTGAACAAACAAGATGCAAATTAAACTAAGACCTTAGGAGGGCCTGCCAAAGTACATTTAAGCCCACTAGCCAGTTTCCGAATACTGCAGCTCTCCTCTCCCCTGTAATTTTAACAGGCTGTGTTCTCTGCAATCTTTCTTGATCAAGGAATGTGAATAAAGGTTTGTAGGAGGACTTGTTGATAAAGGCCTTGGGGCAAAGCCTGGGGACTGGGTGCATTTTGTTAGCAATCTGTATAGGAGGCATCAAATAGAGAATGCAGGTTGTTGCTTTTTTTACTTGGTGAATTGGCAGTCAGGTGAGGATTTCTACTTTTGGGAGGGGATCCTGGATTCTGAACCAGGTCTCTATTTTCTGATGCTAGCTTTTTTTTTAAATTGAAAGGGAACCAGTTTGGTGTAGTACTTAAGGCATAGGCATGGGAGGGGCGAGATGGTGAGTTCTAGTTCTGTCCTAGGCACAAAGTCAGCTGGGTGATCTTGGGCAAGTCATTTCTCTCAGCCCGAAGAATAGGCAATGACCAACCACTTTTGAAAACCCTTACCAAGAAAAACTGCAGGAATCGGGTAGTCTTCAAGAATCAAACGCAATTGAATAGAAAAGTTACTGAAATGTACTATAGCAATAGCACTTAGAATTATATACTGCTTCATAGTGCTTTACCGCCCTCTCCAAGCAGCTTACAAATGTCACCAATAATCTGAGTCCTCATTTTACCGACCTTGGAAGGATGGAAGACTGAGTTAACCTTGAGCCCAGTGAGATTCGAACTGCCAAATTGCAGGCAGCCTGCAGTACTGCCTTCTAACCACTGTGCCACCACGGCTCTTCCTCTATAAGGTGATAAATGTTTGTTTTTTTTTAACCAAAAGAGAGACATTGGCCTAGTGGTTAAGGCTAGAAAAAGTGATTGCATGATTTCTAGTTTCACCTTAGACATGAACTGGGTGACCATGGGCCAATCATGCTCTCTCAGCCCAATTCACCTCACAGTGCTGTTGTTGTGTGGAAAATGGGAGGAGGAAGGTGCATTGGATATGTTTGTACAGAGTTATTTGTTAAAAAATAAAGTGATATAAATAAAGTATGCTAGTGTCCACAGAAAGGGGATCTGATGGCTGTGTGCTTAGTTTAAATTTAAAAAAAATTGTAAAAAAAAAAAAGAGCAGAGTAACACTGGGACTTCTTCTCAACCATTTCCAAAATTAACCAGCAAGAAAGAAGAGAACAAATTGGTAGGTGATTGTTTATAATCACTGTCCCTCAATTATGGAGCTGCTTTTCATTAAAGGTTACCTTTAAATTGGAAGGATTTAAGCTCAAAACAAGTTGATGTTGGTCTGTAGAGATGTGAAATATTGCGAATTGTTGCAAATAGCTCTTAACTTTAGAGATAGAAGAGATAGAAATTAAACTCAATGTTTTATATGAAGAAGCATGTGGATTCTGGAAGGAAAATGGTGGCAAGCTTATTTTTGTTGACAAGAAAGGCATTACATAGCCATAAAAGTTCATCAATACCGGACAGATTTAATAAAGGCAAATTTCAGAAATCAGTAGAATCTGAAGGGGGGGAAGAAAATCAATTCTATGCATAACATGTACCTAGGTCAGAATATAGTAATTCGGCTCGTATTAATATGTGACAGCCATTGAATCTTAGGTCTAATGTGAACTTGGCTACAATTTGATATGGGGAGGGGGGGCTAGGCCTCCAATCAATCCTTGCGCTCCTCTCCATTTAGAAGTACATTTTTGGGATGTGAAGTCGATATGTCAAATAGAAGGCTGCTACTGTATATCAGAGTTAGAAACAGGAGAGGCCATACATACCATGGGCATGCTAGAGAGAGCAAAAATGGGTTATACAAAATATATCTACATAATGCTTTTTTGGGGGGGGAGGAGGGCAAGGGTTTTTTTGGGGGGGAAACAACAGTTTGGCAGCATTAGCATATTTTCAGAATATCCACGAGGCTAGGCAAGTAGGAAGCTTTTCATTGTCCAACATAGCAATATACCAAACAACAAGAAGAGCTTTTTTTAAAAGGATTCCAACTGTTCCTAACATTGCTGGGATTGTGAGGATCAGTCCAGGGCAAAGTCTGTCCCAGTTACTACATTCCTTTCTAGGTTTTTGTATTTTGTACTCTGATGGAGGGGAGAGCGTATGGATCCATTAAATGGGAATCGCAGGAGGAATCAGCTGTTGCCATGAGCTCTTTTGTTCTCCTGTAACATGTTAAATTTTGTGCAGGAGTTAGTAGCACAGACTAATGCAGGAAGCTCTCTCAGGCTTGCAGACAGTAAGTTGCCTCTGAGATTGATCTATTCTAGGGTGAGTAGGTGACGTCATTC